TTATAACCATCTTTCTGGCCGAGAACTGAGCGAAAACACTTAAACTGATGTCATACGGGACGATTCGCGACGGCGATTTTTCGCGATACGCCGTTACGCGAAAAATTGATGTCGTGTAACATGTCACGTGCAACGATTTCTGGATTCGGCAGCGCGTTGCAAGTTTTTGATACGGATTTAAAACTCTTTGGAATTGGTCCAAGGGTTATGCGATAAGAGTACTGTGTCGTCGGTGCGAGACATTATAACTAGACAAAGGACTAGGGATCGTTGTGTGACAAACCATTCTTAAAAGGGGTTCCGTTTCTCCGTCTATCTTGTGTGTCACAAAATGCAAGACCCCGGATCATGTAACCTCATTAATCGTTAACTTATGTTTCATTAAGAATCATTCGAGTACATTTTCATGGCTGCGCGCGAGTTTAGGCAATTTTTATTGGTGATCAGTTGACAAGTAGTGTGACATGCATAACGCAACACTGTTTATTAGCAGAAAAAAAGCACAGAGCCTGCAACTCTTTTAGCATTACAGGGATAAAACCTCAAGGGGTGACTTTAAAAAATTTTCCTTTCTCTTAAACATTCCATTATCTTTTGAATACTATTGCAAACTCACAGCCACTAGTAGAGGCAGGGAAGCACGTGTCAGACACCTCAAAAGATTTGCTTTCGGCATCAATATTTAATTAATCCATTCGGGATTGCTGTGTATTAGGCGGGAACTGATGATGGTACATTGCCTCCCCCTTTAATTAAGACCTCGCTATGCCCTCCCTGTCTACAGCTGGTGGTGGTAGTGGTTCATAATTTACATCATTTATTAACTAAACCTCTCTCACGTTTGCAGAACGTCATCAAAGAGAACTCAGGGAACAAAGTAATGATCATAACTGGATTTTAAATTTAATCCATTTTCAAATACATTCAGACATTGTCACATGAATCTAATGAATCTGAAGTAGGTCTTAAACAGAATTGACCTAATTCACAATGACGTCACTGCTTGTTTA